GGCAGAGTGCATTCATTCCTAAAAAGAGCCCAGTGATTTTGTTTGTTGTTATTACTTTCCCAAGGCCCAGCATCCATCAGAAAAGCTCTTCTTTAGGTTAGGTTAAAATGTTCTTCTTAGGGCTGCAAGAGTCATCCCAAAACCCAAGTTTGCTTATGTCATATCCACTTAAAAAAAGCCATTTTATGGCTTTCCTTTATTCTCAATGTCCATACACAATTCTTGAATTTGACCTAGCAGCCTTCAAGATCTGAGCTCTGCCCCCTCACTTTCTTATTTTGCACTCTTTCCACCCTGTGACCTGGGGAGGGGACTACTTTGACTCTCCTGACCTGTCCTGCTTGTCCCACCACAGGGCCTTTGCATATGATGCTCCCTCCCCTGACCCCCTGGAATGCCATCCTTACCCTGCTTCCCCAATAACTTAGCCTGTAGCTCTCAGCTTGGTCATATCACTCTACCAGTAAAGTTCTCCTTGACACTCTTACCAGGACAAATCCTCACCTTTACATTCTCCTGGCACCATCTCACAGCTGACATTTTACACTAATTTCTCTGGTCATTTGTCCCATGTTTGTCATCCGTGCTAAACTCTAAGCTCCAGGAAGACAGGGACCATATCTGCATTTTGGTCAGCCCCGCATCCCCAGTGCCTAACTCAGTGCTTGGCACTGAGTTGAGTTCAGTAAATATTTATTGAATAAATGAAGTGGCCAAAATTGGCCTCTTGATAAAGTCTACCCAGTTCAAGCTTGGCTCCTCACAGCAGTCGGTGCTGTGGACCACAGGACGACCCTGCAGCTGTGGGCAGGCACCTTCAGGACCCCCACTCTTCTCTGCTCCCCATTCCTTATAGAAGGTGGCTCTTCTAGACCTCTGTGTCCTCCTCCGGACAGGTTCTGTTGGTATATTGCCTCGAATGGACTCAAACCAGTGGATGGGGAGCTTTTCAAGAGCCATTTGCCCACACAGTTCTGCCAAGCAATGGAGCAGCTGAGAAGTAGTTCAGGGTTTAACTCCCCATTTAGCCTTTCACCTCGGAGGCCCTTGATCTCCTTGTAATTAAGCTCACACATTAAATGAGTTTTATGGGATAAGAAAGCCCCATGTGGAAGATGGAATTTTCACACCAGGAGGCCATTTTGGATAATTGTCAGCCTCAGCGTGAAAGCCACTTGGGGTGAGGATGAATGGGTGTTGCGGGTTTACAAGGGCATCGCCAACAATAAATACCAGAGATGAAGCTGAACTCTTCTTGTTTTTAATCAGGGCCAATCTGAGGCAAACTATAAAGGAGATGAAGAATGTCTTTAAAGCGGGGGGGGGGGGAAGCAACTTGCCCAGAGCCATCTTCGGGCTCTTTCTGAAAGATTCTTTTTAGGCTTTTGTCTCTGAAGCAGGGATAAGCCTGGAATTTCGCAGAGGTTATCAGGAGCAGGTCAGCACCCCCCCCCCGACACCGAGGGATGGGCTGGGTCTGTGAGGTTAGCGTCACAGCCAACGTCCACCTGTGCCCTGTGGGAGGGACACCAGGAAAGGGGAAAATGAAGAAAAAGGAACACACACAGTTGCCACACCCCATTAAAGAGTAGAATCAGAGACTTTTTTTTTCTTCTCTCTCTCTCTTCTCCTTAACAGAGGCACTGGGGATGGAACCCAAGACCTCGAGCACACCAAGGATGTGTTCTAACACCGAGCTATCCCCCCACCACCGGGGTCTTTCCTATTACAGTTTTCTCCTCAGTCCGGCCCAAAGATTGGCAAAGCCACTGTACTTCAGAGTTGGCCGAGGAGCCTGTTAACAGGCCAGACCCTCAGGCCCCACCAAAGAAATGGAGGGTCTGCAGCTGTCTCCACAGCTCACTCGGCCCTGGGAGGTTCTGACGCCCCACCTGTCTTGTAGATCACAGGTGCCTTCCCTGGCCTGAGTACAGTGAGGCCTTAGGAGACATCTGCTGAATCGAAATGACATTTTTAATCGGCTAGACAGGACCCTGCTCTGTGGGAGGGAAGTGGTGGGTGGGTGGCCCAACCCCCGCCACTCAGGAGTGCTCCCAAATCAGGGCACTTGCCCTCCCTTCTCTGGTTCCCCTCCCCCAGGGGCACACAGTGAGTCCGGGAAGGCCTGCTGCCCACAGATGGGTTATGTAGCTGGAAGTGCAGCCTCTAGGTTCTAGGACTCAAATTTCCCATCTGTAAAGTGGGGATAATGATCGTAGCAGCTGTTCACAGGGGTGCTGAAAAGCTGAAAAGAGATAATACACGTCACGCCCAGCAGATGGCTAATGTGCAGTCATAGTGAGCCATTACTTGTCTTCTTGCTCGGGAAACCTCACAGCAACTGTTCAAAGTCTTCAGAGGAAGCAGAGGGCCAGATGTGAAAGTTCAACGACTCAGAACACGCCAGCTGGGTTCATCCAGCTATTTTACTGTATGTTTCAGGAATTTCAGGCTCTTTTCTTAGCTCTGCTTTGGAGACCAAAGCATAAATGTTTAGTGAAAAAAAAAATGGATTCTGAGATCATCTGATTCAACCCTTGGTTTCACAGCTAGGGAAACTGAGGCCACCTGATGTGAAATGGCGTGGCCAAAGTCACACAAGAAGTTGGAAGACAGAGCTGGGACTAGAACCCAGACTCAGCTGTTTCCGGGACAACAGCTGTATTCCTGTACTCTGCCAGCTGTTTCTGCAAGTTAGAATGTACGTGACATCCCTTTAACTGAAAATGCTGCGGACATGTGTGGCTCATGTGTTCTTACTCTTTTTCTTTTTTTCCAGCGGAGGGTCATGGTCAAACAGTGTCACAGGTCAGAATGCCTCTCTTTTTCTTTGCTTTGGCTGGGAATCTGAAAAACAGCCTAGGGAAGAGACCAGGGACCATCTTGCAGCTGCCAAGGCTCTCAGGACCGGAGGCTTGTGTGGTAGACGTTCGTCCCCTAGTGGACTGAGTGGAGATGACAGGCAGGGAGTGAAGAAGAGAGTTTGCACCTTCATGGCTGCCTACCGTTCTGATGCAGCTTGTGCAACTGGGCCTGCCTTACCTCCACCCTAATGCCAGCACTATCAGACAGAGCCCATCTTTACTTAAAATGTCGATATTTTGTTGATCAAAACTTTTTTTTGGTATTAATTTTAATTTATTAAAATATTGCTTTAAAATTTTTTTTATTGATTACTTTGGGTGGCACCCTCTTTAAATTTTGCGCCTGAGGTGAGTGCCTCGTTCACCTCCCCCTGACCATAGTCTTAATCCAGAAGCCAGCACTGGAAGACCCCACAGATACCCCACAGTGACCCTGTCACTTGCCAGATGATCCACGAGGCCCAGCGAGGCCTGAGCTGGCGGCCTGTGAGGGCAGCATGGGTCTCATGCTCCCGGCACTGGAATAATCAGAGCCGCAGGTTTTCCCCAGGATTCCTCCGGAAGGGGACAGTGACAAAGGCTCTGTCCTTGCCCATACTCTAGCCAGGCTCCTCTGAGCCCTCTTCTCCACCAGGCCTGGCAGCCTTGGCCAGTCAAGACTTAAACAAACACTAATACAGTTTCTAACAGCTCAAGGCTGCATCCTTAGAATGACCCATGCCCCGCTTAAAGTGGCCGCCTGAAAAAAACTGAAGGCAGCCGAAAGAACGTACTGTTTGTTCCCGCCAACATCTGAAGATCACACCCCTATCTACCAGTCTCTGTGGGAGGGTAGGAGCCCCACTTTGATAAAAAACCAGTTGGCAAACCCCGGTGGGTTCTGCAGGGACCAGCCCCCCAACTCCATTTTCATAATTTTTCACTTCCCGGAGTCCACAGAGCCCCCACTCAGCCCCACCCCATCCCCTCATTCTCCCTTTAAAACACCCCATCACTGCTACATAAATCAAAGTGAGTCCAATTCACTTTAGATCCTTCCCTACTAAAGTCGTATATTAAGGATTAAAATCAGTCCTCACTACTTTAACTAGTGTCCAGCTTTGTTTCTCTTGGATAACGTCTGTCTTTTGAAGCGTGTCCCTTATGAGAAAAGACCCTGGGGCCAAAGGCAATTTTATTGCACAAAGATGCGCTGAGTTCTGGGTCTGCCTCAGTGCCTAAAGCATGAAGGCCTAAAGACAGGCCCCGTCTGCTGAGGCCCACAGTAAGCCGTCAGAGCAGGAGGAGGGGCTGGTGCCCCAGCGTGTCTGGGAGGGGCCACCTCCTTGGAACCCCTTCCTCAACTGGGCTTGCCTCCTGCATCATCTGCCAGATGACTCCGGGTCCTCCAGGCAACCAGGGGACAGCCACCCTCGGGAGTGTTAGGGGACAAACCGGCCCTCATCCTTGCCATCAACTGGCCACCAGATACCCCCTCCACTCTGTCACCCTCTACAGCCCACCTGCCATTAACCCAGCACTCCCAGCTCACCACTTCCTGCACCCCTGGGCCACATCCAAGGAAGACAAGACCACAGCCTTTTGTCTTGCAAGGTCTCTGCCTCCATTTGCCCCAGCCCCCTAGCCGAGTGCTAAGTCCCCCTGCCACCCCTCATCATCCCCACCACCTCCCTGGGGATTCCCTGGCGGGCTGCTGGTGGGGACACGGGTTTAGGTCAGACGCTCTGTGGGTCCTGCCCATCTTGCTCAGGCTGGGTTTATTACCCAGGCTTCACAGGGTTGAATCAACTGCCTTCAAATGCCTGCATCCCTGGGGGAAG